GACTAAACGGGACCATCCATCTACGAAGTTTGAAGCCAATAGGTAGTTCCGTAGGTGAATAATAGGTCTAATATTATTGGGTTTTTAACATGGTAGGGTCGATATGAGTCCTTGATGTCTAAAATCAGAAGGCAATCGACAGAGTCCTGTATGATTCAATTTGTAACAAATTGTTTCTCTATAAAAGATTTTACTGTTTTCATAACCTTTCCAATTGAATTTATTCGGTTGTAAAGTTTATGTTAACTACCCAGCAGAAAGCTAAGCAGAAAGCAGAAAGCCCTTTTGCGCGGGGTTGCTGGTCCTCTATCGGACGCGTGCCAGGTGGCGGATAGGTTAGCTTCCTAGAAATAGGTGGTATCGAGGAAATCAAATACTCGACGCGGACCAAAACCAGCAAACAAGAAACATCCATCATGAGCGATTGTAAAAACGAGGAAAAGTACCTGCGGGGTAATGCTACGGCTAAATCCCTCACTGGTTCCGATCGTCAAGCGCTTTCGAGCGTGATATCTAAGGGGGATCCCTTACTGAAAGAGGCTTTCAAGGAGGCGAAAAAGGACCTCAAGAAAGAGATCCGCAGGTCGCGACGCCGTAGCTGGAAGGACCTAATCGATGAAGTCGATAAGGACCCATGGGGTCTGGATTTAAAAATCGTGACTAGGAAATTAGTGACGAGACAAAAGACCCCCGGCCTGGACAATCCCGGTTGGGTCAGAAAGGTAATAAGTTCTTTGTTTCCTCCTGCAGAGGGACCTTAGAAGGGACTGGAGTTTTTGCAAAGTCGAAGAGGAAGAACTCTTCACACTTAATGAACTACAAAAAGCAGGCAAAAGATTGAAAACAGGTAAGGCGCCTGGAATCGATGGGATAAGTAACGAGATCCTAAAGTTGGTTATCGACACTTCACCCCAGATTCTGCTTCGATGCTTCAATCTTTGCCTTAAGAGAGGAGAGTTCTTCCGCGACTGGAAGCGACAGAGGTTAGTCCTCCTGAGGAAAGGTGAAAAACCTCTAGATAAAGTCTCATCATACAGGCCTATATGCCTGCTAGATACGATGGATAAACTTCTAGAGGATATGGTTCTGCAGAGAATGCAAAGCCACTTGACCGAACAGAATCGTCTATCCGATCACCAATTTGGTTTCCGTAAAGGCAAGTCCACAGTTGATGCCATCCAGGCAGTTGTGGACATAGCCAAAGCAGGAAAAAACAAATTGGGACCTGGAAAAAGGAAGAGCTTCTGCGCGTTAATAGAAATTGACATACGCAACGCGTTTAATTCCGCAAGATGGAAAGATCTCATCGAGTCTATGAAAAAGAAAAACATGCCGCCCTACTTGTTGCGGATAATGGATAATTATCTTAGCGACAGGTGGGTTATATATGAGGGAGACACCTGCACTCTCAGGGAAGAGATGCAGCGTGGGGCTCCTCAAAGCTCGAGGGTGGGTCCATTTGTATGGAATGTATCTTAGGATGATTTTCTGCGAATGGAACTGCCCGAAGGTGCGGTGATCATCGGCTTTGCGGACGACGCGTTGTTCGTGTGCACTGCCGAAAGTGAAGAGGCTCTTGGGACATTGGTGAACGAATGTCTGCGACTAGCAAAAAGCTGGCTGGATACCAGAGGTCTTGAAATGGCCCTGGAAAAGACCGAGGCACTGCTGGTCACAGACAGACGTGGTTATGAGCTTCCACGAATCGTGATAGACGGATTCGAGGTCAAGTGGAGTAAACAAATTAAATATCTTGGTGTGGTGTTGGATGGAAGGTTAAACTTCCACCACCACATGGCTACGGCGTCAAATAAGGCAATCGAGTGTGCGGCTAATCTTTCACGGCTAATGCCAAATGTTGGCAGACCCCGTGAAAGGGAAGAAATGTTTCTCTTTTCTAAAGAAAGAAGTTTCTTGGATGAGGAAATAAGACCAAGCAAGGGCCTGATCCGCAAAGAAGCGAGGCACAGGCTCATAGAAAGATGGCAAGAAAGATGGGATGGTAAGGAAAAAGGTCGATGGACTTATTGCCTTATCCCGAAACTCGCCACCTGGATAAATAGGAAACACGGCCAGGTTTCCTATTATCTGACTCAGGCGCTCACAGGTCACGGGTGTTTTAACTCGTACCTGTGTCGCTTTAAATTACGCGAGGACGATGTGTGTGCATATTGCCAGTTCTCTGAGGACAACGTGGAGCACACCCTCTTCTCATGCAAGAAATGGGACTTGGAGAGGCAAGCCATGTTCGACGGTGTTAACTGTCAGGTTACACCGGAGAACATGGTAGAGCTGATGACCCAGTCGGAAGAAAATTGGCGGCAAGTCGAGAACTTCGTAATCTCGGTTATATCGAGGAAAGATCTCGACGGCCGCCAAAAAGCGTAATTTAAACAGCTTTTAATTTGTTTGTTTTTTTTTTATTAATTTATTTTGTGATTTATTTGTCCTTATACATTTTTTGGTTTGTTTTCTGTTTTTTCTTCGCCTTTGTACAATTTTGTCTTCTCAACGTTATATACGTGTTTACTTTTTTTTTCTTTTTTATATCCGTTTGCGATTTTATCTTTTGACTTTTACACTTCTTAAAAATTTGTTTTTTTTATTATTGTTGTGCTGTAAATTCCGCTTAGACTTTAAAATAGTTTTAATAATTTTTTTTAACTACGGACGCATGAAAACCGCAGAGAAAGGAAGAAGGTCGCATTAGCGACAGAGTTGGAGCGCCACCCTCGAAGGCTAAAGTCTCACGACAGTTCCGAGGGAGGGTAAAGGGCTCCAGAAGAAGGGTTACGGGTTTTAGTGGGTCGGGCTGGTAGTAGATCGCCAGTTTATTAAATTTATTATAACATTTATTTATTTATCTTTTTTTTAATATTTCCTTTTATTTCATAGTATAAACCCCACATAACCTTGGAGTGCGGAATCCAAGGTATCTGTAGGCAGATTTCCCAAAATTCCCTAAGCAAAAAAAAAAAAAAATAATAATAATAATAAAAATAATAACATTACTATTAATAATAACAAAAGTAAGAAAAATAAGTACATTAGCTTAGGAATTAATCAAAGTATGTTAATTTATTAATAATATGTAATAAGAAAAAAGACCGTACTAATAATCAATTCTAACGGTCGACTTTTTATTTTCTCAAGCACCTATTATACACATAAAACGTCAAGAGCTACAACTTCTCACTTTAGATATTATACTCGTTTTCATGAACTGTACCATAAAACAATTTTATTGCAAAATACAAAAGCCATAAAACTTTGAAACTAATCCTAAAGAGTTTAATAATTTATCGAAAATGTTAAATTGTCGAATGGCGTTAGCTAAAGATAAACAAATTGCAGTTAATAAAATTTTCAAAATAGCAGTGAAATATTGTATCGCAAAGAGAAATTATTTTTGATTCACAAACGTTAAAAACAGAAGTTTCTAAAAAATTTAATTGGATAAGATAATAAATAAAATAATTTGATTATCTATGTTTATAAGGTTTTTGGGGTCACTGAATCCGAATTTATAATCTCAGATTATAAAAATGATAAATAGGGGACAATTCTATTTTAATTTAGTAACTTTAAACATCCCCGACAATAAAAAGTTTTATTGGATCCGACATGAATTCTTCAATATGAAAGAAACTATATTTATGTATTATTGGTTCCTTTTATACCTATTGGCCATAAAAATTTTGATATAAAGTTCCAGCCCAAAAATTTTCAAACTGCTTGACAAAATCCCTCATTACAATAATCAAGGATAGTTAACACGTAAGAAAATATTTACAATTACTTTCTTATCTCAAATTAATCAGAGAAACATATTAGATCGGCATTTTACATTTTTTATAATAATTGTTGCAATAAATGATAATAACTTAACGCAGGGGGCGTCTAACCCACCCAGGGGGGATATATGACCAAATGCAGACCTTATTTATTACCTTATTTATAACGTAGAGTGTTTTCAGAACCCTAATTTTTGTCAAATAAAATTGTTTATATTGTGGCCTTGGGTCCAAAAGATTTAAAAAAGTTTTATTCTAGAATGAAGGAAGTCTCAATGGATCTTGTTCAAACAAGAATCCAGTAAATCTAAACAAATTTTATTCCATTTTTTGACAGGTCTCGATTTTGAGGTTATGTTGGCCTTAAAAAAACTTTTCTAATTTAAATTTTTAAAATTTTTATAAATTTGTATTATTGAACAATGTGTCCTGATGAGCTGTGTTCACAGTGAAAATGCATTCGATGAAATAAAGTTATAATTGCTGATTTTTAACAACTTTTTTAAATCTTTTGGACCCAAGGCCACAATATAAACAATTTTATTTACCTTATTTATAGAATTTATAGATGTAATTTTCGAATTAGGGGGCATTTAACCGCACTTTACCCTAATATTCAATTCGGATTCAGCGAACTCAAAAACCCCCCAAGTAACGCATTTTAATCAAAAACTGTCAACTTTTAAATTTTCTGACATAGTAAGCCGCCATATTAAATCTACCATTTTCAATTTTTAAGTTATCAATAAATTTCAATTTAGTACTCGTAAAACCCCCCGAATAACAATTTTTATGCAAATCTGAGTAATTTTTGCAATTTTTGGTCGCCACATTGAACCACCATTTTAGTTTTTTCAAAAAAAATCAGATTCGGAATCAGACCCCAAAAACCTAAGAATAGCTAGTGATATTTCAAATCGAAGTAGATTTAGTATTTTTTGTCGTCTATGAAATAAAGGTGGCACAACTTTTATTATTATTATTATTCCAAATAAAATATATAAATAAACTTTTTATGAGCTGTATATGTGCTATGGACTGACAAGCGGTTAAAAAAATGCTCCCGATATTTAAAATTTTGTGGCAAGTGATTTTTTTTATTTAAAGAAAAAGAGTTGAGAAAAGAAATTTTGTTCGTTTCAACTAATTAAAATTCACTTTTAGAAGATGAGGAAAAAATGAGAGATTATATATTGAGCAACTCACCACTTCCAGCTTGTCTATTGTTTAATTTAGAAACTCGTTCATCCAATACAAATTCGAGTACACCATTTGCGTTTAAAGTAGGTCCAACACGCATTTGTAGACCTGGATAAAAATTTCCCATATCCCATTGAAAATTTCTACGCTCCATTAGTCGCGATGCCGCTTCAATGACATTTCCAAAATCTTTTGGATCATAATCTAGGTCAAGAAGATCACGCGATTGACCCTCGCTTCTTTCAAATCGCATATCACCAAAATTAAGATCATCCTTTTCATTTATGGTTTGCAGTGAAATTAATGCGCCACGATTTATGCATTCCATTGTAGTGTACAATTTTTTTGAAAAACAAACTCCAATATTTTCACTGAAACTATTTGATTCATTGGTATCGAGATTTGAATGATCTGATTTTGATTCCATTATCACTGCAAAACAAGCAGCTAGTGATAGGAGGAAGTAAATGTTTCGTAGTTTGTTTTTCATTGTTATTGAGTTTCTGGATTTCAAAGATTTTTATCAGATGTTCAACTTTAAAAGTATTGAAAGTCCTGAAGGTTATTTTGTGATCAACTGGTCAGTTTCGGAGTTGATCTTCTTCAAATCACTCAAGCTGGAAAGTAGATAGAAACAGTTGACACTTTTCTTGGTTGCGTAGCTTTCAAGTTGGTTTCGTGGTCAGCTGATCAATAGGAAAATTTATCGTCTTCAAAACAGTTTAGACAGAAAGTAGATAAAAATAGTTCATTCGTTTTTTGGTTTTCTAGAATTTAAATGATTTTCGTAATCAATTGATCAGTTTTGAAGTTGATCTTCAAATCACTTTAGCTAGAAAGTAGAAAGGAACAGTTGATTCGTTTTTTGGTTTCACAATCAGCTGATTAACTGAAAAGTTCATCTTCTTACAAAGTAGATAAAAATATTTTTCTTGCTTTTATGTAGGTTACCTAGCTTTTAAATTGTTTTTGCAATCAGCTGATCAGCAAGATTGAACTTCTTAAAAATAAATCACATAAAAAGTAAACAGAAAGAGTTAATCCGGCTTTTAGTTAGTTAAAACCTTCCTCTAAAGATGATATCGTGATCAGCTGATCAGCTGCAAAATTGATCTTTTCGAGAATAAATCTAAGAAAGTAGACAGCGATAGTTGATCAACTGGTCAATTTCAAAGTTGATCGTCATCAAGTCAATTTAGACAGAAAGTAGATAGGAAAAATTGACTCGTTCTTTTGTTACCTAGCTTTTAAATTGTTTTCTTGCTTAACTGATCAGCTGCGTAAATTATCTTCTTGAAAATTTAATCAAGTTGTGAGTTAAGAGTAATAGTTGATCAGTTTTTTGGTCATCTAAGTTTTTGAGTCGTTTTTATAATCAACTGATCAGTCTCTAAGTTGATGCAGTTAGAAGATATTTAGCCATTCATTTTTACCAAAAGCTGATCAGCTTCAAAAATTGACAGTTGAGCAATCGCCTATGGATAAAAAGTTGTCTACAATCAGATAAATGTTTCCAGTTTTGAAGATGGCTAAGTAAAAATTCTCTTAAATTTGCTTATTTTGAAAATCTTAGAGTTAATCATTTGGAAAGTAATCAGCTAAATAGTTAATCAGGAAGTCGATTATGCCCTTTCAGTTCTACTTTGACTTTCATTTTCTCTTTCACTTTCACTTTCATTTTGACAAATTTTTATTTCCCCTTTCATTTTCACTTCTATATAGATTTTTAGATTCTATAAATTTCACTTTCTATCGAAGTGAAAGTGAGAATGAAAGAGAAAATAAATGTAAATGTACAAGAGGATGTGAAAGTGAAAATAAAAGTGATCAGTCATAGTGTTAACCCCTTGGCTGTCAACGAGATTTCCACTGTTTGGGCCAAAAGTGTGTTGAAAAAATTTTTAATGGATTTTTATAAAACTTTGTACCCTAATGTTTCTGGGGTCGCTGATTACGAATCTGACATCAGTTTTTCTAAATTCAAAATGGCGGATCCAAGATGGCGGAATTTTTTCAAAATTCGTTGAATTTGCTTGAAACTTGTTACTCGGAGGTTTTAAGGGTCGCTGATTACGAATCTAACATTAGTTTTCCAAAATTCAAAATGGCGGATCCAATATGGCGGACAACGAAATAAAAAATTGATCAGATTGGTTTTAAACTGAATACTTAGGGATTTTCAGGGTCGCTGATTACGAATCTAAAATCAGTTTTTCAAAATTCAAAATATCTGGTTCAATATGGCGGAAAATTTTTAAAAATCTATTAAATTTATTTGAATCTAGTTAATCTGACATCAGTATGATAATTTTTGGTGAAATCAAACTTCGATAAATACCCTGAAAAAATAATGACAGATTCGTAATCAGCGACCCTAAAAACCCCCGAGTATTCAGTTTCAAGCCATTATAATTATTTTTTTATTTTGTCGTCCGCCATATTGGATCCGCCATTTTGAATTTTGGAAAACTAATGTTAAATTCGTAATCAGCGACCCCAAAAACCCCCGAGTACTACGTTTCAAGTCAATCTGATCAATTTTTTTATTTTGTTGTCCGACATATTGGATCCGCCATTTTGAATTTTGGAAAACGAATGTCATATTCGTAATCAGCAACCTCGAAAACCCCCGAGTAACTGGTTTTAGGAACATTTAAGAAGTTTTTAATCACCCTTTTTTAAGTTGCGCATATATGCGTCATGAACCACTTTTGGCCAGTTTAGTTTTGCGCATATATATGCGTCAGCGACAGTCAACGGGTTAATTAGTAGAAAAAATTGATCAGTCAAAAAGTTAATCACTTGAAAGGTTTGATTATTCAAAAAGTTAATCACTTAAAAATGATATATTACAAAACGATCTATTAAAATGTCACCAGTTACGGAATGATCAATTACAGAATATAATTAATAAAACCTTAATGAATACGGAATGATCAATTACAGAATATAATTAATAAAACCTTAATGAATATTAAGGAATATTCATTATAAAATGATCATCATCTATTTCCAGTTACAGTTGAAAAATGATCCTGAAAGATCCATAAAAAAGTGATAAGCTTGAAAATGATCATCTTCAACAATGATCTATTAAAAAGTGATCAGTTACCAAATGATCTATTAGAAAGTGAACAGTTACGAAATGATCTACTCAAAAAGTGAACATATAAAGACTAAACAATAGAAAAGTGCTAAAGAATTATCCAAATACTTATTCACCCTAGGAATTCAATAAAATAATCCCACTTCTGCGAACCATTTCCGAATTTTCATCCTCGAGTTTTGCAAAAATTAATCAAATTATCATTGATTTTGTTTCGTCAAAAACAACAACTCAACAAAAATCCTTCGAGATCTTCAACTTAGCACACAAATTTCCACGAGTTCTTAAGCAAAACTACTGAATATTCCAAAGAGAACAGCCACCTTTATAACTTTAGCAACGTTCGCACACAGTATATAGAACAATTGGTTTCACTTGATGAACAAACAAGAAGCGAAAGTTATACTCCACCAAAGTTCTTTTTATTATTGTCCGATCTGAAACGCTTGATGCTCCCAAGTAAGTGACTTCCGGTGACTTAAAGATGAGATTATGATTTCAGACGCATGTCATAAAAGAACGGATTATACTAAACAATATAAATATACATAATAAGTGACTAAAAATTAGCCAAGCAAAACGGTGATGATTCAATGTGGGCAAAAAAATTTCTTTTTGTTCTTTATAAAATTAATATTTATTTATTTAAATATCACAAGTTATACATGGTGATAACTTTTAACAATGCATGTACCAGAGTAACAACGAAGGATGCTAGGGGTAAATTCAATTTTTTCTATTTTGTATATTGCAAAACAATATTTATTATACAATATTTATTTTTTTTCAAAATAGAATTTTACTACAATTGTTTCGTGACAACAAATATTTCATTTGGAAATGTCATAAATTTGCAATAATTAATATTATCATCATCACACAGGCACACAGAAAAAAAAATTTGGTGACCCAGAGGACAGAACCTTATATTCCTACGTCTTTTGGGTCGCTGAAACCGAATATGATCATGAAAAATTTTTTTATTTGCCTATTTTCCCGCTGAAACCGAAAAAGACCACCAAAAACAAATTCGTCCCTCCCTTTACGCCCTAAATACACCCTTGGAGGGAGTTAAAATTGAAATTTTCACGAAAAGTCGAATGCAGTATCTATTCCTATGTTTTTTGGGTCCCTGAAACCGAAAAAGACCATCAAAAATAAATTAGTCCCCTTATCCTCCCCTAGCACTCCCTTAGTATTCCTAGGGAGGAGGTTGAACTTTTCGGTTTCATGAAACTATTCATGAAACCGAAAAGTTCAACCTCCTCTATACTTTTCATAACACCGTAAATTTTAATCCCCTTTAGGAGTAGTAAGAGAGTAGTAGGGGGTGAAGGAGAGGACTAATTTATTTTTGGTGGTCTTTTTCGGTTTCAGAGACCCAAAAAAACATAGGAATAGACACCGCATTCCACTTTTCGTAAAAAATGAAATTTTAACTCCTTCTAACAACATAACAGGGCGCTAGATAGGTGAATTCAAAGACTGTTATTTTGTATAAAACTAACTCCGGAACATGGAAAATTTTAAAACTCCAGTTTATGAATTGAAATGGTACCTAATTCTTATTCCAAAAGTTTTTGGAAGGGACAATATAACAGGGCGCTAGATAGTGTTTTTAATTAACATTATTCTGTAAATCTATTATTTTTAATAATTAATTAAATACATATTAAAATTTAACTTACTTCAAAAGATTTTGAATTATTAAAATTTTTCAAAAATGTAGGTTCATTCGAAAGACATGATAGGCAAGCGGTAGACTACCAGCCTCCAATCTAACTGCATAGTTAGGGGTATTGGTCGGGAGATATAATAATTTTTTATAAAAGCTTAGCTAAATCCTCTCGATCGAATCCAAGTGAGATAGACCCCAATTTTTCACTTGATAAAAAATAACCCTTAAACATAGACTTTTAAAAAGATTTTCATATGTGCGCCAAGAGTTTACAGTTTCTTCAAACGAAAAAGTGCTAGTTAGAGGCAGGCCGAGATAAATTAATTTATCCACGACGTCTATTTTTTAGTTACCAAATTAAAAATGATTTAACTGTCTCTTCCTGTAATATTTCCTGTCCTATTGCATGTATATATATATAATTATTCCCTACAGACTGGTTTTTTTCCTGATATTTGGAAAATGATCAATGTGTCAGACCTGTTCCTAAGATAACTAATCCAAAGTAACCATCCGATCTGAGACCGATTTCAATAATTTGTGCCCTATTCAAACCATTAGAACGCCTCGTCTGTAAACAAATAACATCATATTTAAATAAAAATAAATTATTTGAACCACTGCAATCTGGTTTCCGTCAAATGCATAGTACATGTACGGCTGCTTTAAAATTTTCATCTGATATCAAACTTGCTATGGATGCTAGAGACATTACTGTTGCGATTTTTTTTTTGACTTTCCAAAGGCATTCCCCTCTGTGGACTATCAACTACTGATTAATAAACTTGTTTCATTGAATATGTCCAACTCTGTATGTCGTTGGTTTGTGTCTTACCTTAGGCTTAGATCACAAAGAGTTATTGACGGTAATGGGAACATTTCGAATTGAGACCAAGTTAAGTGTTGTGTTCCGCAGGGCGCATCACTTTCTTCTCTATTGTTTAACTTATTTATTTCTGATCTCGGTAGCGATTTTAAATTCTGTAAATGTCATAAATATGCTGATGATTTTAAACTTTATCTTTCTGGTCCTTTATCTGATATTGCAAACTTGCTTAAAAATATTCAATACGACATTAAAATTGTTGAACAGTGGGCAGTAGGGAATGGCTTGCGTCTTAATCCTAATAAGACGCAGGCGATAATCTTTTCTACTACTAACTTTTCATTGGATTTCTTATCATCTCTCCCCCCTCTACTGGTTGAAGGAACTCCCATTTTATTTGGTAAGACTGTCAAGGATCTTGGTCTGACATTGGATCGTACTCTATCATGGAGGGATCATGTCTTTGGCATTTCGCGCAAGACATACATGGATCTTCAGCAATTAAATAGGAATAGGGATTCTCTCCCTACTCCAGCCCGGTTACTTCTTGTCAAGTCATTGATTCTGCCCTTCTTTTATTATTGATGTGTGGCTTATGACGATATCTCAGAAGAGCTGAATAATAAACTTGAAAGAGCCTTTAATGCTTGTATTCGTTTTGTATATAATCTACTGAAGAATGAACATATTACTGAATTCAGAATTAAATCTGGACTTTTGAATGTTGCTATGAGGAGACAGTTTTTTATTGGAAACTTACTTTATAATATTTTTCAACATAAAACTCCGATTTACCTGTTTGATCTTTTTGAGTTCAGGGCATTTGATGATGTAGTTTTTAATAAACTTCGTGATAGAAAATCCGTCCTTAAAATACCGTTTCATAGGACTTGTAAAATGCAGGGGTCATTCACAGTCAGAGGATCTAGACTGTGGAACAAAATACCACAAACAATAAGAGATGCGTCTAAACATTGTATTTTTAAAAAATTGTTTTTTGAGTTGTTGTTTAAAACTAATGATACTTTATTCAACGTCACTTACTGGTAAAAATAGATTCATTTTCAATTCATATTTTTATTTCATAGTTTATGTTTAATATGCAATTTTAAAGTTGTAAAATTAAATATAGATTTATAATTAAATACCTATGTATCTTGTTCCTCAGTGGCCTCATTAGCCCTAGGAACTTATTTTTAAATAAATAAATTAATTAATTAAATTATTCTTTTTAAAAATTACAATTTTGTATTTGTAGTAGTGGGTTAAGGATGAGTTAAAAGTATAAGAACTTAAGTGGGAAAATATAGTGCGTTCAATAGTATTACGAGGTTACAAACTTTTGACTCCGATTACAGGGGATGTGATACCTTAAAGCAAAATTTCATTAAAAAATAAAAAATATTACGAAAAATATTAAAAATCTGATTAAAAAATGGAAATACATAACAAAAGGAACAAAGGGAAATAGCGCAAAATATCAAAAAATAGAATAATAAAATCAAGAAGAAAAGTAAGATTAAGAAGAGCAAGGAGAAAAAGAAGAGAAAGAAGAAAAAGAAAAAGAAGAAGTTGAGCATAAAGAAAGTATAATGTGGCTTAAATACTAAAAAACCTCGAGAAAAAGATTAAGATTAATAACATTGAGAATGCCAAAAAGAACTACAAAATTCAAATAAAAAAATAACAAAATAAATTAAAGAAACGAAAGAATAATAAAATAAATAATTAAATCAATGAAGAAGAAAAATTTACTAATAAGAAGAAAATGTTTGAATGAATACTATTCATTTTTTATGTATAAAATTAATATTTATTTATAAATAACATAAGTTACATGGTGAATCGACAATGTCGAAAAAATAAATAATCATTGGATAAGTCTGTGAGCAATTCTGACTAAGAATCATTCGGTATATTGATTCAATTTGGATTGACACAATCCAACAAAAATCTCATCCGATGATTCCAAAAGGGATGCTGCACGAATGATTTGAGATGAGTCGTGACCAGTTCAGTCCGATCTTCTCACCAAGAATTCTCTCTTTGTCCAGAAAAAATAGAAATAAATAAATAATCCTTACATAATCTAAATTGTCATTCAGTCTCGGTCCAGTAATAATGCCAACGTGGAAAAAAACACTGTCCTTTTTGGTCATGATCATTTGATCAACTGTCTTCAATTGTTTAACTGTCATCAACTGTCTTCAATTGATCTACTGTCATTGATTGTCGCCTACTGTCATCTGTCATCAATGTAATCGTCAACTGTGTCAATATATTTGGAAATTCAAGCAGAATAAAAAAATTCTGTCTAGATCTGATCAGACAATATCTAATCAAAAGAAAATCTACTCAGTCAAAGTCTGATCAGACAGAATGAAAAAAAATTGTAGACGAGTAAATGTCGACGTCAGTCGAAGTCAGGTCAGTAGTCTATAAATTAAAAATCAGTCCCTGAGTCGAGAGTTCCATTTTTTTTCGTTTCTTTTTGGTGATTGTTAAGATCCAAAACTAGTATTAGTCTGGTCACGACGCTTTTTGATGATCCGTCGACAGCCTCATGTTAAGGCAGTACGAGGATGATGTGTTGAAAATGATGACTAAATTTAGTTGGTTGGCTGATAAGCGTTGTAGGCAAGATCCGATGCCTGTTCCCAGTTCGCCGATCTTCCCCATCCATGATCGTGGTGATCCTCATGATGACCTCCGTGACCAACGACCTCATAGTTTTGATGTTTCGCTCCCATGAGTTTCTGCAGACCCAAGATTGCGCTGATGACGAGGGCAATTTTACCAAAAACGAGGGCTTTCAGTGCGAGGAAGGCGAGCACTCCAAGAGCAATGGGGATCAAGGCAGCGAATTTCAATTTCAAGAGCAAGAGAAGAGGGATCAAGGATTTGACGATCTTCTTCTTCTTTCCACGACCTGAAATAATGAGGATTTTGTTAGATTAATTTAATTAGAAGCAATTCATGGTTTTTGGTTCACCTTTAGATGATTGTTCTTTATTCTTTGATAATTCTACTTTATTTTTCATTAACTGTTCTTTTTGATTTTGTATTGTCTTTTTTGATAATATAATTTCACGGTTTTCACTGACATCTTTAGAAAAACTGTATTTAGACATTATTATTAATAGATGGAGAAAAATGAATTTGCTATTGTAAGGCTAATTTTTAGCTATTGCAGATGATTAGCCATGACAGCTGACAATGAACTGCGGCAGCTAATAATTAACTTTCACAATAATTGCTATCCCTATATAATCAAATAAAGCTAGCTAAGATAGCTAAAAATTAGTTAAGTTGGCTGAATATTAGCCAAACTATCTAAATTTTTTCTGCTTGTAAATTAAACGTTAAACTAAAACCAATTAATAATTAAGGAGAAAAATGGAAAAAAAATTAATTAAAGGGAAAAATTATCAAAAAATATTTTTTCATTTATGATGAGAATTAAAAAACCAAAAAGATTGCATACCTTCTTCGAGGGACCGGGAGGAGGACTCATTGGAGAGATTGAGTTCAACGGTATGGGTGCTGAGGAACTTGGCGGTCCTGTCGAGAAGAGCCTGGTCAACAGCAGCCTCCCTAGCTTCAACTTCAGTGGGCAATGATGATTCAATTTCGTTCAACGATCTTCCATAGTCAGCGCGACTGAAAAAAATATCAAAAATTAGTAAATTGCTATCGAACTTTCTCCACCTGGATGGATTCGTATCATTATTATTATCATCATCATCAATATTTAAGGTTACCATCAGTATTATTATTAACAATATCATCCATACTCAATAATATCATCAAAATTCAATACTTCCATTAATATTATCATCAACTTTATCATTAACTTTATCAATATTATTATCGTGAATACTATAATCAATTTTGATATCTACTTCATCATCAACTCTATAATAAATATTTTCAACAAATTTAATATTAATTTTATCATCAAATTTATCATTAATTTTATCATCAGTACTATCATCAATTTTATCATAAATATTATCATCAGCTATATAATTAATTTTATTATCAGCAATATTATCTATATTATCAGCAGTATTAGCATCAACTTTATTATCAATATCAACATCAACTTTATCATCAATATTTCCAGCAATATTATCTTTATTATCATGAACTTTATCATCATTATTATCAACTCTATTATCATTAGTAATATCAACATTATTATCAACAGTATCGTCACCATCATCATCGTCATCATAATCATCAACATCGTCATAAAATTCATCACCATCATCAACATGAATCATTATCTCATTCAACTTTCTCCGTCATTCACTCTTAATTTCGAAAAATTATCCATGAATGAAAAAATCTGAAAGAAAACGATTACAAAAGAAAAATGAATGAAGAAATGAATGAAGAAATGAAAGAAGGAATGAAGAAATAGAAAAAGAAATGGAATAAGGGAAGGAGTGAACTGGATCTCAATTGGAAAAAAGATCCTAAATGTAATAATCCTCTCTGCGTTTGATGATGCAATCGCACTGTTAACACTTTTCCACAATCGCGTAAAATTTCCGTTTTCTTCGCAAAAAAAAATTCTTACCTATTTTTGGCTTCGTCGGTTTGTACAATTTTGAGACCATCAGTGATGTCAAATTCCGCGGAACGTGCTGCTCTATCGACGAAATTTAATGCCTTGAGTTTAAGACACACGGCCATGTCATTTTCATCAGCACATGATGAATAGACATCAATAGCCTCCTCAAATAGGGAGCGCTGTTGAACCTCCTGTGCGGCTGGTGCGGCGAATGTTGCCGCGACCAATGAAAGAATCACCACGAATTTATACATTTTGTTTTCACTATATTTTTAGAGTACCACCAGGGATATTAATCTCGCACTGTTGTTTTTTAGCACCCACCGATACTTTTTTTTCAAATTGCTTGAACAACGACGACGATCGTATCGACACTGGCCGAAAGAATCACGATGCTGCCTTTTATCCTCGACGCGAAAGGGGTCCGCGTACGTTTTTGAAATTTTGATGGCCCCCACTCTCAACCTATTGGTTTCTTAAGTGCCGTTCGTCGTCTGTCGTATATACGCTTGACCATCCACCCATCCATCTGTATATATCGCCTTTTTCACCTATAGTCTCATGTGTACACACATGAAAGAAGACGGGTGTTGGCCCATTCGGGATGCTGCAAAAGTATGTGTGAGTGAGTGAGAGTGTGTTAATGTTTGAATATCTGTCAATTTGTATTGGTTGTAAAAGCACGTGCTTTCACACAATTATAAAAAAGAAGCCAGAGAGAGAGAGAAACACACAAATATATGCGTGTGTACATTGTACACTTGTTTCTTTGTATTCAAAGATTGGATCCGGAGGGAGGAGAAAAGAGTGAGAGAGATGTATTGGTCAAAGGCACCGAATTCATCTCGTTGGCTTAGGAATACCGGTACACCCTCCCCTTTGAGATGTGCCTTTCCCCGAAATAAGGGCCTCACGATTCTGTCTATACGCCAATGCCTTATTCCCAATTTCTTGTACCTTCCCACGATTTCATCATTTCATGTAGATATTGTCACTTTAGAGAAGAGATATTATTAGATTCTCTCTCTTTTCTCTCTCTCTTTTCCCAGTCACCGAAATTCAGTTTCTCCACTTAAATCTAGCAATTTATTGTTAATCTCGAAATTCCTTTACTTTTTGACGATATATGAGACAAGTTTTTTTTCCCTAGCGAGTAAATTCGAACTGCAATCGAATGTTGACCTATTTCTTATCATTTACAGTTTTTTTTTCTTTTAGAAAATTTTCGAATTATTTTCTATTATTTTCAATTAATTTTTAATTAATTATTTTCTATTAACAATTTTTATTTTAAAAAAATACAAAATTTCTATGTTTAAATCGTTCTTTTATTATTTTGTAATAAAATTTAGGACTTTTTTGTTATAAAAATTAAAATTAAACATAATGTGAATGAAAAAATTCACTGATTTTTTATCATTCATGTTTGAGAGTTTATAGGTAATTGTATTAATAATAAAAATAATATTAAAAATAAAAAGAACAATAATAATAATAATAATAACCGTAAAAGAGAAGAAAACGAAGAAAAAGAAATGTAACCACAGGCACAATTAGATAACTAACAAGAATAAAGTGAAGATCGAGAAGATGAAGAAATATAAGAAAATTACCAAGAAGAAGGAGAGTTAGAATAAATTTGATGAGACAATGAAAAAGACATTTATCGGTAATTGGTAGAATTAAAATAAACAATTAAAAAAATATATTAATATCATTTGATAAAAAAAATAAATAAAAAAATTAAAGTATTGTATATATCTAATATTGTAAACAATAATAAGTAGAGGAACAAAATTTGTTGCTGTTTTTATTGTTTTATTTTTAAAGTTTTGTAAAAAATTTTTAAAAAATGTAAAAAAAAAATTTTTTTGTTAAAAAATCTAAAAAAAAAATTTTTTTTAATTTTTTTAGATTTTTAAATATATTTTTTGTGATCAGACTGTAAAAATAGACTAATAAACCCATTTTTAGTTAATTACATCAAATAATGTAGAAATTAGAAAAAAAAAAAATTTCAAAATTTTTTTTAGTTTTTCCTTGACAACGCTATGGACATTAATACATAGCAAGTTCTCTATATTTTTCCTGTAATATTCACGATAAAATACACCAGTATGCCAAATTTTAGCCCTCCATGTTGAATAGTTTAGAAGTTAAGGGGGAGGGAATGGTCACTTTTTATGCATTTTTGGCCAAAAATCTTGTTATTTCCTTGACAACGCTATGACTATCATCTCCAAACACATTCTCTATATTTTTCCTGTAATCTACGTGTGAAAATACATATCTGTACCAAATTTGAGCTCTCTAGGTCAAATAGTTTAGCCGCTAGGGGGGGGGGCACGATTTGGCTACGGACAACAGAGTCTCACCAATAGGATTCCGCCGTTACACCGTAGGTGTACGAAACCCTAAAAATGACCAAAAACATGAAGAATAGGGAAAAACGTAAAAACATGAAGATAATAGAGAAAAAACAACAAAAATAAGATGAAGAAGAAACAGAAAAAAAATTAAATAAGAGCGAGAATAAGAAGAAAGTAAAGAAAACGAGAAAGATAAAAAATAGGAAATAATTAAATAATAAGAAGATGAAAAAGAATAAAAAAGAAGAATAACATGAAGAAGAGTAAACAGATAAAAAAAATTTAAAAAAAACGAAAACAAGAAGAAAGTAAAGAAAACGAGAAAGAACAAAAAAATTAAATGACAAGAAGCTGAAGAAGAATAAAAAAGAAGAATATTATGAAGAAAAGTAAAAAGAGAAACAAATTAAAGAAGAAGGAGAACAAGGAGAGTAAGAAGAAAGTAATGAAAACGAGAAAAAACAACAAAAAGAAAGAATTTAAATAACAAGAAGGTGAAGGAGAATAAAAAAAGAAGAGTATGAAGAAGAGTTAAAAGAAAAACAAATTAAAGAAGAAGTAGAACAAGAAAAATAAGAAGAAAGTAATGTAATCGAGAATAAACATAAAAAATAAGAAGAAGAAAATTAAATAACAGGAAGATGAAGAAGATTAAAAATAAAAATACGAATAAAAGAAAAGAAATAAAAAATGAGATAGAACATAAATAAATAAGAAAAAAATTCAAAAACCAGAACAAAATTAAGAACAAAAATAATAAGAAAGTAAATGATTCGAGACAAAACGGAAAAAAAAGAATACAGAAACAAGAAGAAAAGTAATAAGATTAAAATGGAGAACAAGAAGAAGAAGAATAAAAGAAAATTAAAGATACTAGACAAAACAAAAGAAATGAAAGAGAATACAATAAGAAGAAGAAGAAAAATATTAAGAACAAGAATGAGAAGAATTTAGAAAAATTAAGAATAGGGAAAAAGAGAAAAAGACTAACAAAATAAAGAAAGAACCCAAAAACAAGAAGAACAAGAAAAATTTGAACAAGAACAAAAAGAACAAGAAGAAAATGAAGAACACAAGTCAATGCGAAATTAATAAAAAAATACAATAATAAAATAACAAGAAACGTAAGAAGAATGTCAAGAAGAAGAATAGGAAGAATTAAAGAAAAATAAAGAATTTAAGAAACAAAAAAGAGAAAGAATCCAAAAACAAGAAGATTTTGATCTAGAACAAGAAGAATAAAAGGAAAATAAAAAATATAAGATGGAACAGAGCAAAAAAATATTTCAAAAAAAGAAGAAAAAGAAGGAAATGAAGAAGACGAAAAGGATTTAATGAACCTAAAAAAAGGAGGAGTGGTGGAAACATAAGATCAAAATTAAGAACAAAACAAATAGGGAGAAATAAAGAAAATAAAAAAGAACAAGAAAGAATACAATGAAAAGACTAGAAAGAAAAAATTTTGAAAAGAAGAACAAGAAAAATAAGAAGAAAATAAAGAGGATGATAGAGATAAAAAATTAAGAAAGAAATGAAAGAGAATGAGAAAAAAAATTAAATAGAAGAACAACAAGAAGAATAAGAAGATTAAAACAAGATTAACAAGAAGAATATAAATAAAAAGAAGAATATCAATAAAAAAAAGAGTAACAATAAAAATAAGAATAACAAAGAGAAAAAAAAGGAGAGTAACAATAAACAAAAACATAATAACAGGAAAAATATCAATAAAAAGTAGAGTAACAATAAAAGGAAGAGTAACAATTAAAGAAGAGTATCAAGAAGATTAAAAACAAAAAGGACATGAAACTGAGTAGAAAGAACAAAAAAAAGATGAATAAGAAGGGGATCGATAACAAGAGTTAGAAGAAAATTGATAATAAAAACAACTACAAAGAATAAAAATTATGACAAGAATAGAAAATAAGGAATGCATTAGAGAAAAAACAAAAATACTTCAAATATTCAAATTTTAATGATTGGTAATAAAAGCTAAAAACAGAGTTTCCCTCATCGTGCCAGAATTTACAGGGGAGTTTTGACATTTGACACACATGATGATAATAATGCTGGATGATGATTGTCTTTCATAGAGGAATTTGTCTCCACCCATTTTCTACACAGTTATCGCTTATAAAATTGACATCGATGGCGGAATATCTTCGTAAAGTTTTTATCACTCTCAAGAAATCCTGTTTTGCTGAATGGGACGAATTTAATTCATGACGAAAACGGTGAAATTTTCGCAGACTAGGATGGCACTCGAAGAATGCGGGGACTGACCTAAAAAAGTATTTAAGCATCGTCAGAAACTGATCATCTCAATGACATTGAGTGTGTGTGGTATTTTTTTTTCCTTTTTTTTTGGTACATCAATAAGTCAACGATTAGAGGAAATATTCATTTTTCATTAAGAAACATGCGCGATGAGTCTATTAGCATTTTACAAGAGAAAAACTAATTTATTTTCACTTATAAATAAATTTATAGTAGAAAGCAAAGTATAAGTATTTTGTAAGACCGATAATTAAAGTATCCTTTACGTTTTCTATGGTTCAATTTTTTTCAGTTTTTAAAAGTTTTTTTTTAAGAAAACTTAATTGAAAGGGGAATTTTTTTTTCAATTGTTCAATTATTTAATTAAACTGCAGATATAATTATTAAATAATTTTCAACTCAGAAAATAGACGAAAGTGAAAACGATATTATCCAAACGATTACCGTTAGAAGAAAAAGTGAAAGTTTATAGTCCGAAATATTTTTTTTTTCAAAATCATAAGATGAATAACGGTGCCTCTTCTGGAGAGAAAAAATTGTTCCTATTATTAGAATTGGTAACACGTCTCATCTTTAAGGTACATTTTTTGATAGTTAAGGAATTTTTTTTGTAAATTGAAAACTTGGTACTGGAAAGTAATGTTAACTAGTAATTGTACCAGTTACTGCTGAATTTTAAGTACCAAATTATATACTTTTATTAATTAATAATATCCAATTTCAATTAAAGCTGGTCCAATTAAATTTTTGC